TCTATTTTTACAATTCTGTTTTGAAGTCCTGTTATGTCATAGATGGTTTTGTTATTTGGGGCTGGTTCTAGATCTACGAAGAACAGGTTTAGCGGTTCTTTGGTGGATTTGTGATGAATATTGATGATGTTTCTGACTCTGTGCCCCAGCTCGGCATGTTCTTCTTTGATGTCTTCAATGTTGGTGGAGTGATGGAGGTAGCGTATCACAATTCTGAATGCTCTGTCTTCTTTTAGTTGATACGTGTGGTAGTAGATTTGTTGTGTTTTGAATTCTCTCACCATTTTCCTGTATGTTTCTGGGGTTTCACAATTTATTTTGACTATGTTATTTGCTAGGCTTTTGGTTACGTACTGTTCTTGTTCGGCAATTTGTTGGATGCGTTTTATCTTCTCTGAGTAGTTTTGGACACCATGAACGAATATTGGTGGTGGTTTGGCTATTTTCGGAGTCATAGTGATGTCGTTGTTTGGGGTTTCAGGTTGGTTTAATAGGGGGTTGAATCGGTTTGCTGTCGGGGTGTCACTTGAAACGGGTGGGTGGTGTTTCAGTATTCTTTTCCTCTTAGTGCTTCTGATTCTTTGCCAGTCGTTGTTGCTGTTGTTTTGGGTGTTTTCATCATCTTTGCTCCATGATGACATTTTTTGTGTGTTCTCCCCTGATGTTGTTAGTTGAGTTGTTGGGGTTTATGTGTTGTGATGGTTGGAGAATGGGTTGTGGGTAGCAGAGGGGGGGGGTTGCATTTGCGGATTTTGGGTTTGTGGTGGTGGTAGAGTCGGAGGAGTAGTAGTTCGGGGTGGGGTTATTGGGGGCCAGTTAGTGTTGTATTGGCTTTGATTTTGAGGGTTGCATATTGTATAGTTTGGGTCTGATGGGATATTTACAGAGTACATTATTGCTGTTGGGATGTTTACATTACTACCGTACCTGGCGTTTGGAGATTCCAGTACGTAGATGTTGCGAGTTGTTTTTTTTTCCTGTATATATTATTTATTTTATTGTTCTTTGTACAAATGCTTTCTCGCTGGCGTTGATCACAAGCTTGTTTGTTCTGTTTGATAGTTTTCTTGAGTTTATTCACTATAAACACTCGATTCCTCGGAGCGCTACACTGACACACCCGCACTGCTCGGCGTCTCGTATCGAAGTCCCCCAAGGATAATGAGCAAGAGTGAGGACGTAACATGCTTCGAAGACATGAGAAATGCATAAAGTAAAGTAAAGTAAAGCCATCCCTGTACCAGGCCGTGAAGGCCCATAGGGTTGTGAGACGTTGAGGGTCCCCATTTTCTAGACAATCGGCTCAAAGATGGCGGTAAGGTTGTCAGCCTTACGCGCCGGCCGCGCTTTACTCCCCAGGAAAATTATTTAATTAATTCCTGGTACTCATTTCTGTTAGAGGCTGAGTCGACCCCAGGGCCATAGTGCGGCTGGAAGGATTAGGTCAATTGAAAAAAACCAATGACCTCATCGGAACTTGGACACGCGACCTTCCGGCTTGTAGCGTAGTGCCTCAACCAACTACGCTACCGCGTGCCCCCTGACAAATACCTACACTATTTTAATCAGAATATCTTAAAGTTAGTGTTCCCTTGGGAGATCCACGTGTATGTGAGATCTTTTGATTATAATAATGAGCGGGTTGCATACAAGGCAGGAGATTTGTTGACCAGTCAAGCGACCAGTACTTTATCAAGAAGGACTCTTCTCTATACAGTTGTTTATTAAGATTTACAGAATACAAATCCGTTACCCCGGTTCTTCATTTGAAAAATCTCTATATAAATATCAATGAAATGAAAGCAAAAGATTCTGAGCATAAATTCGTAAAGATGTGGCAGAGTTCTACTGCATGAGAATGTGTTTGCTCCAGCAACTGATAGCTGCTCAGCTTATCAGTAAGTTCAGTAACTCCCGAAACTCAAAATTACAGCGCTGTGTTCACAAGCGCCAGCAATTGGCCCCTGTCCTGAGGCGGTTAAATTCATTCAACATATTTTAATCTTCAGAACTTTAAAAGTTGAAATAGCGAACCCCAGAAAACAGCTGTAATATGAACATCTCGCAGTGCGTTCCGTACTGGAGGCCACGCGTGATATATTTAATTTTGTGAACATATTTTTATTCCGCTGTATTTACCGTTGCATTGAAAACAGTCAGGAATTACACATGTCTCTCGTGAAGAGGCCGTAAGGTCGTCCTATATTCCGATGTAAAGATTCGCCCATCGGCAACCCAGTCACGTCCCCCATTCAATCTTGCGAAGGGGTTCTTAAAACTCTTAAAAGTGTGAAATAAAACGCTGTAATTTACCACTAGAACGTTCGGTGCTTAGTTCTTAGAAAAGCGGAAAGTGATTAAAGTGACATGAGCACTGACGTCTGATTGGCTCATCTCAAATTCTTGTGCTCTTTAATCAAATCGTCGTTGCGGCCCAAAAAAATCAAATATGCATATTGCGATATACACAGAGCCTACATTCATACTTACTTACTTCCTCATTGAGCTGAGCCCTTCTGGAGGAGCCTCCAATTCTGCTGCTACTCAAGAATTTCCCAGCATTTTATGGAACCCGAAGGTTCAGTACCGTATTCACAAGAGCCCTCCACTGGTCCATATGTTGAGTCACATCAATCCAATCCATACCATCCCATCCTATCTAAGATCCATTTTAATATTGTCCACCCACCTACGCCTTGGTCTTCCCAGTGGTCTCTTTCCTTCCATACATACATAAAGTAAAAAGGTGAAGTTGACCTGTGCTTAATTAATTAAACACTTCATCTTGAAGACGTATGGAGGAGTGGAGGTATAGCTCTGCCATGCTTGACCTCCGCACTTTGATGAAGGTAAATGGTCAGATTCACGCCTCACACACGGTATCCATTGGATGAGAGGCTGGATGAGCCTCAGAGCTCAGAGCCTGTCTGGGCGCTGTGGAGAAGAGAAAAACCTCTTGCCCCTGCCGAGAATCGATCCCCGCCCTTCGAGCACGTAGCCTGTCGCTGTACCGACTGAGCTATCCCGGCTATCCCTGTATTTTGTATTATGGAAGAGTATGGCTTGGATTGTGAGTACGCCTAGTGGAGCCCTCAGTATCTCTCAGAAATAGTCGTAACATTGTAAGATCTGAGGTTTTCACGGCGGTGACTATGAAGAATGCCATCTTCTGGGATGTGGCGCCTTGCAGATATTGTGTTAACCGACGTTTCGGGGGAACGTATCACCTCCATATTCAGGGTATAAGAAATCCGCGAGCGATGAGCTAACATGACTGCAGACTGCAGACTCACTCTGATAAGTGGCGAAGCCAATCTAAAGGATGCACTTCGAAAAGATTTATTCTTGAATTTTGTGTAGCCCTAAGCGTTTCCAATCTTATTCTTTCCAGCAAAGTAGGATTTAAGATTCAGTCTCTTTATAAACGTAACAAATTACAGTCTTACTGCAGCGTTAAGTAGCTATGCATCCGATCAATAAAGTCCCGATTTTCATCACTGTGTTTACAAAAGCCCTCGATGAATTATTTGGAACCGGCTTAATCCAGTGCAAATCGAACATATTTCCAAAATATGATTTTTTTTATCTTCTGGTCTACTTTTAAGTCTACGAAATGCTGTTTTTTTTCCTTCAGGTATTCAAATCAAAATATTATGTGTATTTCTTACGTATCCTCTCATATTTTCGTTTGTTTGATCTAACTGTATTAGATGAAGGATACAAATCTCGAAGCTTCTGAACATGTACTTTTCTTCTCTCTTGTTATCCTCGTCTCTCTTAGAACAAAGTGTTTTCTTCTCCAGCTTCTTGTCTTTTCTTCATATTCCCTTCCCTATTTCATTTTTCCTATGTTTCTGGTAATGCTCTTTTTCTACACTTTCCTTCAGCTTTTTGTTTATGTTATTATTTAACCCCCTGTTTCTGTACTTCTTTTGGCTTGTTTTGGACTTCATCCATCGTCTGGTATGTAAAAGACAAAAGACCACGACGTTTCGGAGACAGATTCAGTCTCCAAAACAAGCCAAAAGAAGTACAGTATGCACTATCGTCAGAATCCTTTCAAGTCTACCTCTGTTTCTGCTTTCCACCTTCTTCGATTTTTCAATTCCATTTCCCTCTCTATCGTCTACTTTTTGTCTTTGTCTTCTCTTCGTGGTTCTTTTCCTCCAATTCATCTTCTTATCCTCCTCCGTGTATTTATTTTCTTCTTAATCCTCATGCATTTCTCGTTGCAGCCAGCATCTTCCCTTCGCCGACGTCCTACTGGACCAACCCAAGCGCCAACCTCTACTCCAACATCGCGGCGGCGTCCAGCCACTCGATGACGCACCACCCGAGTCATGTGACGTCACACCTCGGCTCATACCCGCACTATGCATGACCAGACCCCGGCTGGACCAGAGAGTACAGGCGGCTGGCTATGTAAACACGTGTACAGAGTATAGGAGAAAGAAAATAGCTCTTTCTTGCCAGATCATGAGAGTCTGCTCTAAGGAGTACTTTGAAATCGGCCATGACTTGTCTCTCTTCCGTCTATCAGAATCATCCTTCATTTCATGCTACACGATTTCCGAAGTTGATTCAGCGTCGTTAACTTATGAATCAATAAATTGCACAAACATGCACAAATGTCGGGACTTAACAGTGAGACTGCCGAGCTTTGTAGTTATGGCAAGAACTGCCTGTTTTCCTTCTCACCCACTCACTCAGTATATGTTGTGTATTCAGCACACCGACATTTCGTTAGGTACTTGTGACACAGTCTGCAATACACATACTAAGATATGAGCGTTCCCTTTAATAAAAACAGAATGAAGGAAATAAGTAAATCTCGGACGTAATTTAAATAATATAAATCACTATATAATTCTTGTGGCCCAGCCTGTAGTGACAGGAGCTGAACATTAATCAATAAATTATTCTTGGTGGGAATTTCTAGGAAGTGAAGCTGAGTACAGGCCTCTGGATCGAGCTTGTGTCCAGCCTGTAGAAAAAGAGGCTGATATTCTTTCATAATATTCCTTTATCCGTTGTAGGAATCAGTACATTGTATCTGGATACCGTACTGCTCTAATTATAAGAAGCAGTTGTAATATGAAATGACATTTAGAACGTCATGAAAAATAGGGACAAACATGTCATACGTGTTTAACAAATGAACAAGGCAGTGAAAATAATTAGTTTTAATTTACTGCAACACACTGAGACTGCGCCTACTTACTTTGCCTATGCACTTCCTGAGTTGCAATTTTATTTGTGATTGAAGTATTTGTTCCAGACTTGATTTTATTTATAGAGACAAATATGCTTCTCCTAACATGAAGGAAATCTAGTTTCAGTTTAGTCAATTATGCTGGATTAGATATATTTTCCTTATATTTTCTAGTTTACTTTAAATTATAAGTGTTTTATAGGCCTGGAGAATCGATATGGTTGTGTTGTTGAAAGGAAGATTAATTTTATCTGAATCTAATATGAGATTTTATTTAATTTAGGTCCTGTGTTGGCAGTTTTGGTTCGTGTAACACTTTCACCACAGATTATTCTTATTGATTGTTCTTACATTGTGTTCTGCCACTGGTCATGTTCTTCTAATTGTACATATATCTAGCCGGTATTAGGCCAGCTGTTGTGCTGGGCGTCTGCAAGGGAGGGGTTGAGAGCTGAATCCTTGTTATTAAGTTGCAGCTCCAGGTTTTCAGTCCTGAAACACTGCATGTAGCATTGCCTGCTCTTTCAAATCCACTGGTACAGTGGACTCACCGGCTCGTTCAGCTGCAGAACATATGCTTCCAGGCTAGTTGTTTGGCCCAGCCATATAATTCGAAGGAGCACAGAAAAATTCCGTGCAATATGATACTAAAAACTTAACTGCGTGTTAATATATAACATATTGTATAGCAAGTGTCACGTAACTTCGAACAAGACCAAGAGTAACCTTGAATGCGCAGAAGAAAAATTTTCAGACAGGCGGCCAGTTGTTTGTACAACTGGCCGCCTGTCACTTGTCACACCCTCGAACCCACCCCTTTGTCTGAAATTTTTCTTCTGCACATTCAGGGTTATTCTTGGCCTTGTTCGAAGTTACGTGACACTTGCTTTAACTGTGGTAATTAATTTATATATCAGTTAATTATGAATTTTGTATAAATTTTAAAACATTTCGTTTAGCTCTGACAATAACAAACGTTAGAGAGGAACGCTAAGTTACACAAACAATATTTTGGTCTTCTGCATTCAAGTCACACTCATGGCTAAAAAAAACACAGTTTCGGTAAATAGTACTGCCTCCTGGAATATGACACCGTGTAACGGGCAGAAATTTATTATAATTTCAGAGGAATTTACTGTCTCCATCTTCGGGACCTAAGATTAAGCTGAACAGACAAAAACTGAAGTAGCAAGCAGCAAGTGTTATTTTTTACAAAATATGATTTCGGAAATGTCAGAATACGAAAAATGTTAATCTTCACTCTCTGCCTACAGTTAAATGACGAGGGGGAAAATATGATAAATCTGAATTCAAATTCTTCCTCTCAGACGATCGGAATTTGAACCAGTAACCACTGACCAGTAATATTATTCTCCACCCTTCGGATCTGCGGGAGCGGTGTCTGTGCGTTTACAGACTGCAGCAAATATTACGAGGAGCGTTACTTCCAGACTGCCTGCTCCCTCACTGTGATACATGTAATACTTGTTGAAAGCACGTAACGAATCGTTTTCTGCGACAAATCACGTATATTTGATGATATGGGTGTCATGTTCCTGTCTAGAAAACCGAGATTAACGGCCGTGGGGATCCGTTGCGCTGACCACGCGACACCCTCTATCCGCTAAAGTTGACACTAACTTCACCGACAAGTGGCGGACACTCGGTCGGTATAGTTCGCTTGCGGACTAAAGCCACGGAGTTTGTTTTATGGATGCCATGTTTTACGGTACGCAGACATATACGTGCTGTAAGTAGGATGGATTTTGAAACACAAAGGCAGGGCTTTGTTTCCGAATAGACCAACGGGAATGGAAGGTGCAGTTGCTCATTTAAGTTAATATCCTGTATCCTTCTTCAGGAAACAATTTACTTTTAGTACATACATGGCTTGTGATTCCTTTATTTTAAGCATGTTTTTATCTTATTCTGATTATTTTGTTTCGCCTACAGTATGCACAGTTTATTTAATTTTATTATTTACTTATTTATATCTAAGTAATATTATAACTGTTCCAGTGACTTGGTGTGCGTTATGTGCTCATTCGATGAACACAGATACCCAAGGAAATTACGTTTAATATCCCAGTAGACATCCGGTTTAGAAAACCGAAATTAACGGCCGTGGGGATTCGTTACGCTGACCACGCGACACCCTCTATCCGATAAATTTGACACTAACTTCGCCGACAAGCGGCGGTCGCTCGGTCGGTATAGTTCGCTTGCTGACTAAAGCCACGGAGTTTATCCCGGTAGACAACACATTCACACACATACGTACGTGATACCTACAGATACTATTTACTCATGGAATCTCCTAACTGGCGATAATCAATGACTGGGTTTCTTATAATTGAATGTGTATTTTAAGAAGCCCGCATTGCAATACAGGATTGAAGTCGGGAAACGGAAATATAAGAACATTCTGTAACTATTTCACAAGATTTGTTCGACGCAAGAAGATTCTTTAGCTGTTCCAGAAAGAAGTCAATTAAAAATAACGTAAGCGCTGTCCATGTCTACCAAAACACTATAAATCAGACATAACAGAGGAGAATTCAGGTGCCTGGATGTACTGCATCTGTTACAGCTAATGAAGGTATATTATTAATAAGCGCATAACAATGTGGAATTGGGAATCGTCTTCCAATAAGGAGGCCACTAATGGCTCAAGGACTTTGGACTGGCTGGTAATTCTTCGCCCGACTGCGCACTAATACAAACATGGGAGCATATTTATTAATTGTCTCCCTTCTGAATATGTAGTACACAGTTTGACAAATTCTATAGTTAACGACGCAAGCATGGGCCGTACAGTAAGTACTGTCATTTAAGTTAAATGTATCCAATAATAACACGGACTAAATTTAAATTGTTAGGTGTCAGATTTCTAAACTGCCTGTCGAATTCCTTTTGAGAGCTTTATTGTAACGTCAACCAAACATACAGAAGAGACCCTGCAGCATCGTAAGTGTGTTAATTTTGTAATTGGTCATGAAGGGTTTATCGTTAAGAAATGAAGAAAAATACATATATAAATGGACATCTTCGCTAAATAAAGATGTGACATGGTGAAACTAGTCAGTGCCCTCTGAGACACGCCGTCTCTTATCAAAGAACTATGTAGGAGTGCAACAGGGCGCCGTGACGTGAACATTGTGCCTCGAACATTCAAATGAACTGTCAAACATAAACAGTTTTCTCAACCAATAACGGAAGAGAAAATTGATGGATTGTTCAACAATCACCGTCAGTGTTGTCCTGAGTTCCTCGTTCATTGTAATACTCATTGTTTCCCACGATATCATGAAATTTTGAGGCTCATAGAGGGGGCATAGCTTCGCTTTGCGTATTTCGCATAGCGTTGTGATTTGTTTTTGAGCTATCGCAAATATTAGCATAAAATAACTGTCTGTCCCCCCCCTCATGTGATGTTTTCATCTATTATAATTTTAGGCTGTTATTCATGTACATACACATAAGTACTTAGTTATGTACGGTCAGTGTTCTTGAAGGGTTGTGGTGTTTCCTTGTCTGCAATTAATAGATTCCTTTTCTGTGCCAGGTTGTCGTTCCTTACCCACTGGTGCAAGTAAGCCGATCTTCCAATCGGGTAACAGTTAAGAATCTGTTTTTTGACTTGATCTGTTAGACCCGCGAAACGGTAGAGATTATGCAATGTTACGCGCGCATGCGCCGCATTTGCAATATAATACGGTCTGGTCTACAGCGACGAGAATGTTCGTCAATCATTAAGTTCGATATCTTTCACTAATATAGTCTCAGGTCACAAGGATCATTGGAACTAAAAATGCCTGTTTCTGCCCTGAATCTACAGGTATATGGGTGTATATATAAGGCAAAATTAGACGATAAATTTCGCTTGATTTTGAGCTATAGAACATTAGCCAAAACTGTTGGATCAAGAATGATTGCACAGAAAAATAAAGTGTTTACAGCGTAGAGAATAAAATGTATTGTATCCAAAGATTGCATAAAAGCAATTTTGTCTCAATTCTGGAAGTAGTTTATGAGGATGTCGTGTGTTTGAATGGAGTAGAGGACCTCTCAGTTTTAAAATGAAGGCAAGTACCAGCGCCACGATCGTTTTACATCATTGAGGAAAATGTAGTTACCCCATATATCAGATGGCCACAGTCAGACTGTTTGAATGTAAAGTCATTACAAAGGTTGCAGTAGAGTCCTACTGTCGCGTACTTCAAGGGCCGTCGCGGTTCACTGGGACGAACAGGGAAAGCATCCATTTTTACTGAACGGAATATAAAGAATTTAGCTAAATTTATATAAGTCGTAGAATTAAATTCAGTTTATGTACGTCAATAAAAAACTACTGAACAAGTTTCTCATCCTTTATTTTCTTTGTCTGTTTGGTACAACAATGTCAAATGTTAAAAGTAAACTTAACTAATGTCCTGTTCTAGAAACAGAAAGGTTTAAGACCTCTAATATCAAAACCCGCCAAAAAATGTGGAGCGATCAAAACGAGACACACAACGTAGGTTTTTTATAGAGTTCATTCTGCCGATATATTTTATATACGAAAATATAACTTGAAATCGCTATGTAAGCGCATACATTGATCAACTTATAATGGAAACATATCGGGGATATAAAATTGTTTGAGCAGCAAAGGAAACAAGTTAGGTATACTTAGAATTTAACTTTTTATTTTACACAGTCCAGGCTCCGCGAATAGTAATAATAGTGGCCACGGATTAGGCCGTGTTTGATCTGTTCCGTCCTCCTAAAGAGAAAGTTGGTCCCTCCGAAAATAATTCGAAATCTAATACTGTGACGAATATGACCATTGCTAGGCAACGGTTCGTTAAGCACGTTCCCGCTGCAACGGATGAACACAGTATAACAGAGGAACCATAAGACATGGTGACATATTCTGTTCGCCCTGGTGAGCAATGATTCTTCTTTCGTTATTCCTCACAGTAGAAGGGAAGGCACTCGTAGTCCAGTAAGGAATGGAGCGAGCCCTACGCTGTTATTATTGACTGTAATTATAAAGAAATGTCAATAAATCCAGTCATCCAATCAAGAACCCCTTATACTCGTCACGCAAACTCCTCATACGTCACAGTATTCCGTGATATAATAGCCGTTATTTTCTAAGTAAAATTAGAAGCCGAGATGTCCAGTAGCAGTAGCTTCATATATGAAATGTAACTAAGGATGGACAAATGAAAATAAAACAGCTGGTGATAAGTGGAACATCAGAACACTGTTTACAGTAAGCTGTAAATTACTCGTAACTTATCGTTTTAGTTGTCCTATTTCTCCGCAGAGATTTTTTTTTCGCCTTTTCATAATTCTAAATAAATAGAAAATGAATTTTGAACGTTCAATATATTCTTGAAATATGTTCCAACTTGACTGTTAAAAATTGACTATAAAATTAGAATATGTATTATTTTTAGTGTTACAATCCAGTATACTGATTCAAATAATGTTTAAATGCGATGATAGTGCTATTCTCTGCAGACTGTAGTGCGGAAATTCTTTCTGTAACATATGACATATTGTGTCGGTTATTGATTTGAACCCTATGCAATAGACCCGAGGAAACCCACCCTTGAAAAGATTCAGAATAGTAAATTGAATGTTTGAATATTAATTACAGAAATAAGTTGATACGTGTATATGGGAATAACATCGTGATGGTTACGCTCTGGCAGTAGCATGAGAAAA